TGGAGGCCTGAGGACATGGGGCAGGGCCAGGATGGTGGGTCTGCAGGCTGCCAGCATCTCTCCTGGGAGATGGGGCCACAGCCCAGAACGCTTGCAGCAGGACACCCCAAGTTGGCCCGCTGCTGGCTGCCCCATGAGGTCAGCACAAGGCAGGTGGCAGCCAGCTTCCTCCTTGGGGCTGTCTCAGGCTGACCCTGAATGAGCTGCACTCCCGGGGAGAAGGTCTGGCCTGCGTGGCGGCCGGGCGCTGCCATGGTTACACCAACAGGCAGCTCACACAGCTGCGTCCTGGACCACCTGAAAGCTATCCGAGTCTACCTGGCAGCCAAGCGGAACCAAGCACCCAAAAGGATTTAGAGTCTCTGGTCTAATGGCCCCCCTCTGTCTGGAGAGGACTCAGAGGGGAAGAGCCCCAATACTGCAGTGGGCCCCTGCTCACCCGGCAGCAGCACAGGTGAAGCTGGGCCCTTAGATCTGGAGAAGGGGGGCGGCTCCTTCTGCAGGCAGTGGCCCCAGCACTGGCCAGGAGAGCCCCTACTGTGTCCACGCCGTTAGGGCGGGCCCAGGGCATGGTTGCCAGGCTCAGAGCTGAGTGTGACTTGAGGATTTGTGGCTCGGGGATTCGTGAATTTTGCTGCTAGGTTTCCTTTGAGCCCCGAATGGACCTCAGGGTATACCTGTGATGCCTTGGGGCATTATTTGGGAGATTTCTATTCAGGGATCAGGGAAGGGGGTACCACTTTAGTGGGAGGGGGGGACAAGGATGGAAACTTTGTGAGACCCAGTGCCCTCAGGAATACCCACCAAGCAGGTCAAGGTGTCCTCGGTCAGGTACCTCCCCTGCAGGCCTATCACCTCGCTTCCAGAGCCTAGCCTGGGAGTGCTCCCTTAAGTCTCCTTCATCCTCTCTTCCCTGCCAATACCTGACACCCAAAGGATCTCACACTGGGAATCCCATACTTCTCTCAGGTACCTAACAGGTTCCCAGCCTCCAGCCTAGCTCCTCTCATAAGCTTTCTGGGGTGGCCTTTGCTTGAAGAAGGGGCTCACGCCCCCAGACACCCCCCTTCCAGGCTGCAAATACCAGTTTCTCCCCTGTTCCCCTTTTCCAGACACACCCTCTCGGTTCCTTCCATCCATCCCAGTTAAACCCCGAGCCCAGGACTCAATCGAGCTGTGTGGAACAGAAGGCAGCCTCCCACTGCCGTTACGTTATCACATTTATTAGGCCAAGAGACACCAGACTCGAACGTTCGGGAAGAAATGATTCATGTGTTGCTGCACCTTGGGAGAACAGCTGCCCTGCTCCCTCGCTAATAATGACAGTGCCTGACCTTTGTAAAGTGACTGTAAGGTAAGCCCTTCCCTATCTGGTCGTCATTTCGGTCTTGGGGGGTCTGGTGTTAACATTTCCATTTCACAGGTGAGGAATCCAAGCCCAGAGAGGGTGACTGACCCATCTCAAGGCCTGGTGGCCAAATGGGATTAGAAATCCAGGCTCCTAATTTATATCCCGTCGCCACCGATTCGGGTGGGAACCCCCCCACAGAACCTGACCTGCAGGGAGTTATCAGAGAGCCAGGGGACGCAGAAATCCCGACTGCATCCTTCGGCTCTAACGCTAGAGGCAGGTGTTAGGCAGCGGCGCTGGGGCAATGCAACATAACTTGAATTGGCCTGAGCTAAGGTTTACCTGGGGACTCCACCTAGTCGGGGGGCCGGAGGGGGAGGGGAACAGGGAGGGGCGGCTTTCTTTCCAACCCCCATCTCACCTGCCCGTTTCCTCTGGACCACGCCTTCTTCCGGGGCCGGCGGGCTGGCATCACTGTAGGTGCTGTCCCGAGGCGAGGTCTCCTCGGACTTGCAGTAAATGGGGGACTCCAGCTGGGGCGGCCGCGGCACGTGCTTCTTTCGTTTCTTGGGCAGCTTCTGCTTGGCCATGGCCAGCGAGTAGTACATGCCAAAGTTGTTGACGATGACGGGCACCGGCATGGCGATGGTGAGCACCCCGGCCAGGGCGCACAGCGCCCCCACCAGCATGCCCGACCACGTCTTGGGGTACATGTCCCCGTAGCCCAGCGTGGTCATGGTGACCACGGCCCACCAGAAGCCGATGGGGATGTTCTTGAAGTCGGTGTGGTCGTTGCCCCGCGGGTCGGAGGGCCTGGCGCCGATGCGCTCGGCGTAGTAGATCATGGTGGCGAAGATGAGCACGCCCAGGGCCAGGAAGATGATGAGCAGCAGGAACTCGTTGGTGCTGGCGCGCAGCGTGTGGCCCAGCACGCGCAGCCCCACGAAGTGGCGCGTGAGCTTGAAGATGCGCAGGATGCGCACGAAGCGGACAACCCGCAGGAAGCCCAGCACGTCGCGGGCGGCCTTGGACGACAGCCCGCTCAGCCCCACCTCCAGGTAGAAGGGCAGGATGGCCACGAAGTCGATGATGTTGAGCAGGTTCTTGACGAAGTCCAGCGTGTCGGGGCAGCACACGATGCGCACCAGGAACTCCAGCGTGAACCACAGCACGCACACGCCCTCGATGTAGGTCAGGATGGGCTCCGTCTCCACCTCCCGCCGGAAGCGCACGCTGGTGATGTTCCCCACGCGGTGGATCTCCGTCACGTTGCGGTCTATGTTGAAGGCCTCGTGGGTCTCCAGGCAGAAGGTGGTGATGGAGACCAGGATGAAGAAGAGAGAGGTGAAGGCCACCACCTGCGGGTGGAAGGAAGTGGGGCGCTGTCAGGCAGGGCTGCGGGGGGCCAGGGTTGGGTGGGCTGGGCAGGGGCAGGGCTGGAGGGCAGGTGGGGGTGGGGTGGGCAGAGCTGGAAGGGCCGGGCAGAGGCAGGCAGGAAGGGCACCCCGCTCCTGAAGGGTGGGCCACCAGGCAGTCGTGGCTGGTGGGAAGTGGGATACAGTACAGCCGGGCTGGAATCCCCTCTGCGGAGGGGCTGCACCCTCTGCTTGGGCCCCAGGGCAGCGCTTCCCAGCCCGGCACTGCACAGAAACTCAGAGCTGCTCCTGCTGGGAGGAGCTGAACCCACTGCCCACTGCTGGCCCCGCCGCCTTCTAGCCAGATGTGCATTAAGGGTTTTTGAACTCAAACTGGCACAGAGCTCATCGGGGAATCTTGTTAAATGTGATCCTGATTCAGGAAGGCGAGGGCAGAGCCCAGGAGTCTGCATTTCTAGAGCTGAGGCTGCTTGGGCACAGACCACACTGGGGGAAGGGGGTTCCCCAAAGTGACCTCTTGGACCAGCAGCAGCACGAAGCAGTGAGAAGTGCAATGCTCAGGCCCCCTGCAAACCTACTAAATGAGAAAAGTGAGGGTCAGGCCCAGTCCTCCAGGTAATTCTGATGCACGTGGAGTTTGGGGTCCACTGCAGTAAGGGGTATACCCAAGGCTGGGGCCCAGCAGGAATGATTTGGGGCCCCCGGCTGCCAGCCAGACCCCTTCTCCCAGCTCCAAGTCCCAGCCCCTCTCTCTCACTTCTCCCCTTGGAACACCCAGCTGACCACCCCGACAGTGAAAAGCCTCCAAAGGATGACAGCACACTGTGACAGGAAGGAGGAGTGCGGCCTGCCCAAACACCAGCCTTCGCCGTCCTGAGAACTGCCATCTCCCTGACCGTACCCCCTGGGTGCGAGAGAGCGGCCACTGTAATGTTGGTAGAGTGGTGACAGTGGAGAAGAGTGGGGCTAAGTGCCCCCCGGTCATGAATGGAGATGAAATGCACGTAACAGTGCACACTGTGGAGGCTTCATCAGGAAGACAGGTCCTGGGGTCCCTGCTGCTGCCTTGCTTGGTGGACCGGGGTGGGGAGGGCAGCTCAGCAGAGGGCTGAACCTACCCAGGCAGATGAAAGGACCCCATACCACTTGGCAGCCCCCCATGGCTACCCCACCCCAATTTCCCCTGCCCCCTGGGCCTTGCAGAGGTGTTTCTCTGCATTGCACTGCAGGGAGGAGGCATGCCTAGTTCTTAGTCCACTGTTGAAAGAGGGGGTCCTGGGGGGATGGAACAAAAAGCACCTTCAGGGTTTCTGGAGCAGGAGGAGCAAGTCTGTACAAGGAACTGAGAGAACCAACACTCACTAGCTATTCCCGCTGCTCCCCGCTGGCTCAGCTGGGCACTGTGACCCTGGGAGGCAGGACCGTCTGTCTGCCCAGAGGCCCTGGGAGGTAGGCTTCATCATCCCATTTTTATGAAGGTGGAAAGGAAGATCAGAGAGGCTTATAAACTTGCCTACAGTCACACAGCATGGGGTGGGGGAAGAAGCTAGACTTGAACTCAGCACTTTGCTTCGCCGCAGGCAGGGTCCAGTCACAGGAAAGCCTTCTCTGAATTACTGATAACGCTTCCAAGCTGCACCCTCTGGCATAGGGCAGACACATGTAAGGAAGACTTATCTTGCGCTCGCTCGGGCATGGATGGGTTGATCAGATCAGGCATAGAGGAGTGGGCTGGGGGAGTAAACCACACTGGGATACACTGTCCCACTTGAAATTTTGCCTTGGACTTCTCCCCTGTGAAAGTAAATTTCAAGCTCCCTTTCTGGCTTATTCTTCTTCCCTTGAGAAACGGGTTATCGGGGGAATCCAGGGTGACAGGGGCCTGCGGGTTCTGCATCACCATAGGAGAGGGGCTCAGGAGGTGTCTGCCCACAGCCACCTGGATACGGGAACCCAGAGTCCTGGGGTGTCCCCCCACCCCCAAATCAGAGAGGGCTGGCTTAGGGAAGGGGATAGCACACCCCAGCTCTGCCAGGAAGCGTGGGAAGCCGGAGTTTGCTCTCCCTGAGAAGTTAGCCAGGAGACCTGGCCCACCTGGGAGCCTGCGTGAAGTTAATTAGCGATTTGGAAAAACAAGTTCAGGAAGAGCCGCCAAGGGGCCAGCTGAGGGCACGAGGCGGGGGGCAGGGAGGGCGCCCGGCCGAGGCCTGCCCAGTGCCTTCCTCCCGGACAGGGTGCTCCTTCTGGGGCAGGTGCAGTGGGTGCAGCCAGCCTCCCGCTGAGGCACAGCCCCTGAATTCCCGCTGTGTTCACTCACTTTCTCAGCCCAGAATGCCCCATCTCCTTACAGACCCCTCGCCCTCGCAGATGACAGGTGACGTGGGGCCACCGTCCCTGTTTCTCAGAGGCCACAGAAGCACGAGACACAGAAATGACCCACTCAGGGGAGTCTCCTGACTGAACTCAGAGCCCTCCGTGCTCTTGTCAACCAAGTGGAGACACCCAAACCTCCCGAGGAGCCTTGATGGGCCTCGGTCTCCCAAGGCCCTTCCAGGCCTCTCAACAGGCAGCAGGCACCCCCGGAAGTCACACCCCAAAACACAGGACCCTGGGCTCTGGCAGGTGACCCAGGCGGGTCCTGAAACTATACATTCCTATTCGAGGCTCAGATTAGTCCCCAGACTGCATTATTTTGTAAGTGGGGGCTCCAGCCCACAGTTGGTGTTTTCCCAGACCTTCCTCTCTGGGGGTAGGGTCTCTTCCGTGTTACTCTTTTGATTTGGGGGGTTTCCGGGGCCATAAAAGGCTCAAGGAGACAGTGGTAGGGTTGAGCAGCAGACCACCCCCCCCCCAACAATGTGGGCAGTGCCAGCAGTGAACATCTGGGCCTCCTTCCCATCGGCCCCTGCCGGACAACGACCTCGGGGCACTGGGGGTTGAGGGGGGCTGAGGAGCCCTGGGCTCCGTCCCAGCCCTGCCTCTAACCCGATAAACACTCCATGCCCATTTCCTTGTTACACAACGAAAAGGGTATTTGTGCCATATGGGCCTCTCCCTCTGCCCCCACGCACCTCCCCAGTGTTACTCGAGGGTTAAATGCTCTTCTACATGGGATGTGCCCTCAGGTATCCAGTCAGTGCTCTGTAAATGCAGACAGAGCTGAGGTGATGGCGAGCCCGGCATGCAGCCTCTGAAGGCAAGTGGGACATGGCATCAAAAACATCACTTTTTAGGAGTGAAAGGGACTCGGAAGACATCCAGGTCAACACCCTTTCTGCTGTTCTGGAGAAACCTGAGGCCTGGGAGAACGGAACCGCCCTGGCCCCGTGGCTAACGCCGTCAATTCTTCCCACTGCATGAGGACACAGCACACAGATGCTGCTGGAGCCCAACTGTCCCAGTGGACACTGCTCGTGGGCTGGTCCCGCCGGCTGGGAGGAGCCAGGGAGGCCTCTGAGCAGGAAGGTGCTGCCCCCTCAGCTCTCTGCTCCCCGTGGCTGGCCCTGTCCTGCTGTGGATCCACCATCCCCAGAGACCCCCTGGTGGGCTAGCCCTGTGGGAAACTGAGCATGAACAAGGCACAGACATTGTGCTGGGTGCCGGGCAAGAGCAGAGACCAGCAGACCCCATGGCCCTCAGTCCACACATCTTACTGAAGGGAGATAGTGTAATAGGGAGGAACGTAAGGAGAGAAGGGGGTAAGACTTGGAGGATGGGGGAGCAATTTCAGACAAGGCGGTCAGGTAAGGCCTCCGCGCCTTCAGAGACCTGAGGAGTGAGGAAGGGCGTCATAAGAGGACCCATATTTTGAGCGGCAGAGAGAACAGACCGTGCAAAAGCCCTGTGGCCACAGCAGGTTTGGTGGGCTGGGGGGGAGTGAGCGTAGTACCCACCACACAGGGCCGTTCTGACGAGTAAAGGAAGTGGTGGCCGTAAAACAGCACAGAGCCCTGCGTGTCTCAGGAATCTGGCACAGGATGGGTCGGGGGGAGAGGTGACAGACACCAGTCATTGGAAATGAAATACAATCAGCGGGGGCAGGGGAGGGGAGCCAAAGGAGGGGGGCCAGGGAGACAGATGGACAGATAAACATAAGAACACTCATGCCCAAAAACCTATATTAAGGATGGAGTGTAGGAGAAGGGAAATTTGAGAACACAGCCAGAGACACTTGCAGAAGAAGGTTTGTGGGGATGGGGTGGTTGCTGAGCCTCCCGGGGAAGCCAGAGCCTAGTGCCCAGCAGGGCTGGAGAGAGAGTGGGCAGTCCTGGGAGCAAAGACGCAGGCAAGGAGGGAGTGTGCCAGGCAAGGCATCTCTGAGCGGTCTCCGGGTTGCTGGGCGAGGCCTGCACGTGAGCCAGCCCCTCTGGGAAGGCCCCCAGGAGGCTGGCTCTGGCCCCTCCCCGACCAGCTCAGTTCCAAGCTGGCACTTGCAGCTTCTCAGGGATCCTAGGCCGTCTAGAGCCAACACGTCCCAGCTCCAGGAGACAGCCCAGTGCAGACCACTGCCCATGACATGACCTTATCCAGTCTCATGTAGTTCTTGGTCACTGCCCATTGCGCCCCGTGCTGGCCTATCTCTGCTTGGGCTGGTCCCCTGGCCGGGAAACTCCCCTCATCCCTAACTCTGCAAGGTTAAGCACTACCCACATGGAGAATTTATTTCTATAATTATTTATAACCTGCCTCCTTCTAAAAATTGTTTCAGGAAGCTAAGTCATCATCCAGCCTGAATAGTATTTCCCCTGAAGCTTCCCTGTTCCCCATCCCCTGCCCCACAGAAGGGGCTCATCCCTTCCTTCTCTCCTCCTACGGAACTTTACTTTTTTAAGACAGCTGTGTCTCCTCTCGTGAACATGCATATTACCGGTGCCTGTCACCTGGTTTCCCCAGCTGTCACCTCCTGCACCTGACCTGGCATCTTCAGGCACAGGGACCACCTCTAACTCACCCTTGTATTTACAGAGCCCAGTCGGGATGTCTGAGATGTACTAAGTGCTCAATAAACATTTTCTGAAAGACCGTACTGCAGTCAAGGTGACCGCCTGTTCCCGGGGAGTCTGTCGGGAGGAAAGGTGAGCCCCACTTAATAGGGCTAGAGGGACAAAGGGGTGCCTAGCTCTCCAAGGTGGGCCAAGCTGACCGCTGGGGGGGGAATCCCTGCCAGCAGTCAGGTGACCATCCGTCTGCCTGAAAATAACGCCAGCAGGTGACTGGGTCGTGACAGGCCAGCAGTGCCCAGGAGCAAGGATGGCATGAGTGCCCGGGGCCCCAGCATCACAGGCTGATCTGGCCCAGGGTAGAGGTGAGGGGCTGGAGGGGTTCTGTTCCCGAGGCTGGGTCACCTGCTCTGTTCTGTGTGCTCTTCCTGTCTCTCCAAAATAGCCCAAGTTTATTTCATCCCCTTCCCCCACTTTACACCCCACCCCAAACGGTGACAAACAGAAACACCTCATCATCCAGAGACAAGATGTTCAGCGCGAATGTTGGTCTGTGCAGAACAAAACAACAAACCCAGGCGGAGGCTGGGGGCTGCCCGCAGCCCGGTGGGACAGGTGGCAGCCCTTGGCCTGAACCCCCTCTGTCACCTCCTTCCTGGAGCCCTGGCATTACCCTGCTGGAGTGGGGGGGTCAAGAGGTGAGGGGACCTGTCCCTCCCTAGCCCGCCAGACAGTTCCAGCCCTCACGCCAAAGCTCATCGCCCCAGTTGGCCCGGGCATCACCCAGGTCGGGGAGCTGGGGTCTCAGAAGGGGCGAGCAGGAGCCCGGATTACCACCCTGGAAGCCTTGGTCCACCCTCTCCCTGGTGGAGGGAAGCCAGCTCTGCACCTCTTCTCCTCTTGTCCAAGGACAGCCCCAGAGTGAGAAGGCTCACTTGACCAAGCCCTGACCAGACCAGCTCTACAGAGCTTCTCTCTGGAGAGAGAACGGAGGGCAGGGGAGAGGCAGAGGCCGGCAGGTGGCCGAGGCTGTGATACCTCACACACCTGATTCAGGTCGCCTGCTTTGGCTCCTTGTGCAAGACACCGGGTCACACACAGCAGGTGTGCGGCCTTGAGCCAGCCCCTCTGGGTCTCAGTTTCCTTCTCCGTGAGCTGAGGTTAACACCCCCTGCCCCACCGGGGCCGGACAAGACGTCTGAAGAAAGCACAGGGGCAGCAGCCCACAGGATGGCAGTGAGGCGTGTGAGCCCCCAGCTCCTTCCTGGGACAGGGGGTCCCTGTGGGTGACCGCTGTATTCAGAGGGAAAGGCCATGGGAAAAACTCAATCTGGGCGCTGATGTCGTCAAAGAAGAGCGATCGCCCTTAATTGGGCTGGTAACTGAGCTAAAGCAAGCCCCACCCCAGGGAACCTGTGGAGACTAGGAGGGGAGGGGGGTGCAGGAGGGCAGAGGTCCCGGGGTCCCCTTCAGCAGCCCCGTCTGTCTGCAGAAGAGGGAGAAGGCCTGATTCTACAGCCTTGGGTCCTGCGGCCCCCAGCCCCCCAGCCGGCCCCCCTAAGGGGAGGAGGCTGCTCTGCTGGCGGTGAGCCCTCACTGCCTGGAACTGTGGGTCCCTGGCGACAGGACCAGCCCGTCCTTGGTGGACTGAGCCTGACAGGGGCCAGCCACAGAGAAGGGAAGAGGGTGAGCACCCCACCCCTGGCAACAGGCTTCCATAATCAGCTCTGTTTGCTTCCTCCTTGTGTCTCTCTTCCTCCTGTCACGGTGCACCCCTCAAATGAGCAGGCTGCAGAGTGAGATGAGACACCTGGGGCCCCCTTGCACATGCTCAGCCAAAGCCCAGGCCCCTTTCCAGGATGCCAGCCTCCCCAGAATGGGAAAACGGGACAGTGTGGAAGTCAGGGGAGGCCCAAGGCTGAACAGAGAGGGCATTCCAGAAGCCCACACCCACCGGCCTGGGACAACAGGGTGGCGTCCCTTCCTAAGCGCCTGCTTGCTCCTGGGCTTCCTGATGTCCCCCACAGGAGGCGCAGAACCTCGGACACTCCCAGGCCAGAGTTAAGGACCCAGTTGCCACCTGGAAATGAGCCTTGTTCAGTGGCAAGAACAGGCTGTAATCCAAGAGCCAGGCTGCCTCTACCTACGGCATGAGCGCAGAAGGACTGACCCTGGCACAGCCTCGTCCAATAGATGGGGATGGCACTTCCCTCGCAGGTTGCCCAGGAGGACCAGAGCGGGCAAGCAAAGACCCCACGAGGCGTGGCCACTCATTTCCCAACTGCCTTTCTCCCTGTGTCCCAGGAACAGCTGGAGGCCAGCCTCGGCACTCCTCCTTGGCAGGTGAGTCCTCTTCGGGCAGGTGCTGTTCACATCAGGAGGAACAGCCGGAGGGCTGGTAACTAGGGGTGGCTGGTTGGCTCTATTAGTTTACACTTTGCACCTCTGAATCCTGTTTCTTTTGACTGCTTCAGTGGGAAGAATGAACCCTGCCTGGCCCCAAAGCCCCATCTCAACTGGCCTGACCCGGAAGGCCAAGCACCCCTTGCTCCCCGTGGACTCCAAGTGGCCAAGCAAGCCCTGCACTCACTCAGAGCGCGCCTGGCTGCCAATTCACTCAGCCAAGGAGAAAATAAAACTCGGTGATGGCACAGCCTCTTGAACTCAAGAGAGAGGACCCTGAACAGGTGGACAGTCCACAGGGCCCTCCGGAGGCTCAGAAATAGGCCCGGCTCCCTACCCACTTCATCCCATTCACGCCCTGCACGCTTCTCATCTTTCCCCACCTCCATTAAGCCACTTGGGCCTGCTCTCCCTCCCCCAACTCAGAAGGCGCCTGAGTTCTTGGGTCACGTCTCTCCCCGAGTGCACGCAGCCAGGAGTGGACACTGACAGGGCTGGGGATGTGTGAGGAGCCCAGAGGCCCTGGCCTGGGGCAGGTCTCGGGACTGGAGAGAGGTTAAGTGCCGCCGACCTTAGAGTGCCGCCGACCTTAGCCTGGCTCTCTGGTCTGAAAAAGGCCCTTGCGCCCAGGGACTGCCCTGGGATGCCTGTGTCCCAGGCGTGGCCACTGAGGCCCCGCCTGCCCCCTCCTCTTCCAGGCAGGCGGTGTATCTGCCCTGGTCAAGCATTCAGGCCAGTGTGGCCTCCCCAGCAGCCCGCTTCCCCATTTCCTGCCTTCCCCTGGCTGGAACTTTCCCTTCCGTGACAGGGTTGTGACAGGCCCAGGAGGTGACTGGGCTCTGAGACTCATTAGTGAGACAACTGGGGATGCCAGAGGTGACAACCAGTTCCACAGCAGAGGGCAGAGCCTTGCTCTTTCCTGTCTCCCAGATAGACCCCAGCCAGGCCAGGCTGCAGGCAGGCAGATCAGACCAGACACCAGCCCCCAGGGCCTTCTTGCCTGAAGGATCTGGAGCCTTCCCTCCCTTGGAGCTTTTAGTTGCCCAAGCACACTTCCCCCAGACCCCCTCCCACCTAAGGGACTTGTGGAAATTAGGTTGGCTCGGGGATGGGGGTGGCAGAGAGGGACTAGGTCTTGCCTGAATGAATGATGCGCTTCCCCCCTCCCTCATCCATTTCAAGCAGTAACCAGGGCTTCCTGGGAAGCCAATTTGTGCTGCAGTGAAGAAAAATGCAGCAGCCACAGATCTGGGGTGTCCCCGGGCAGCTCTGCGGCCCAATCCCAATCGCTGGGCCCTTCCTGCCTAGCTCTGCCCTCATCCCGGCTGTGGTCAGGCGTCTGGAAGCCCAAGGGGCACCCAGACGGGCACCCAGATCATCCTCCTTAGAGAAGCAGCAGCCCTCTCCCACTCCTGGAGGAAAGGGGCGGGCCCTGGCCCCGGCCCTACCTGTGAGGAGCTGAAGAGGCTACAGCCTGTGCCCCTCTCGGAAACTCACAGCTCAGAGCTGGCAGAGTCGAAGGCGGTGCGGGGCAGAGAAGCTAAGGCTGCCTCCTGCCCGAGCTGGTGCCAGCACACTTTCTCCCCCCAAATTCTGCATGACCCCAGCAGAAGCTGGAGGGCCAAGTCTGCAGGTCTCTGGCCTGTGTGTGTGTGGGGGGGTTGGTGAACACAAGCAGCTGTGCAGACCCTCAGCTGGGGGCCCCCCATTTGCTGAGAGGCATACAGCAGCGCAGCCATCTGGGGTCAGTCCAAGTAGTAAGTGTGTGCAACCTTCTGGTGAAGAAAGCATGGGAGAGTGGGGGTGTGTGATGCCCTGAGGACCCATGGGTGACAGCGGGGAGATAAGTCAGCCTGCTCCCCACTCCTCCAGGCCCCTACCCACGTGCCCCCAGCAGACCCCCAAGAGGCCAGGCGCAGGCTCACAGGCTCCGGCTACTCACCCTGGCCGCCCTGGAGGAGTAGGGGTCCTCGAAGAGCGCCCACATGCGCGGCTGCCAGCCTCGGCAGCTCCCGGCCCCGGGCCCCGAGCCCGCGCCTCCCTCGTGGGGCCCGAGGCGCTGCAGGGCCAGCAGCCGCTCGTCGTCGCAGGCCTCGTCGCCGGGGCCAGCGCCCCCGCCGCCGCCGTCCGGGCTCTCGAAGATGTCCAGCGCCTCCTCGGCGTCGCGGTGCTGCCTGTAGGTCATCCAGCAGCAAGGCTCCACGTCGGTCTCGTCGATGCCCCAAAAGGTGAGCTCCTCCTCGAACAGGGGCCCGCACACGTCGGCGGGGCAGTGCAGCTTGCCCGTGCGGTAGTAGTTGAGCACGTAGGCGAAGACGCCCGGGTGCCGGTCGAAGAAGAACTCGCAGCTCCCGCCGCCGCCCGCCCCGCCGCCGCCTTCGGACTCGGGCCGGCCCCCGCCGTCGGGATCGGCCAGCCAGGCGAGGCGGGTGCCGGGTAGCGTGCGCAGGGTGCTGCGGTAGGTCTCATGTCGCGTGCCGCCCACGTTGATGATTATCTTCTCCGACGCCTCGCCCTTGGCCATTTCCTCCTTCAGACATGTTTTGGACGGAGGCTTGTTCCCCGACTTGCGCCCGCGGTAGGAGGAGACACACACCGAGCTGATCATAAGAAGCGCTGCGGGGCTTCGGCTTGGGGCGGCCGCTGCCCTCCAAACACCCTTCCCGAGGAGGCAGCGTCAGGCGGGGGAGGGGGAGGAGAGCAGGAGGCGGCGGGAGGCGGCGGCGGCCCCCTCTGCGGCTTGGCCCTGCCCCTGCCTCCCCCCCGGGGCGCCGAGCGGGAGGAGTTGGGTTTCTCGGGTGCACAGGTGGTTGGGGTTTGGGCAGGCAGCGCCCGGGAGGGAGGCAGGAGGAGGAGAGGAGCGACTCGGGCGAGGGGCCGAGAAGGCAGGGGCACGCACGCTCACGCTGCCCCGCTAGGACTGGACACTCGGACGCTCCGGGCCCGGGACACGCCCCCACTTCTCCCCCCAAAAGACGAGCCGGCGCGCAGTCCGGGCGCACCGCGAGGCTCGGGACGTGCGCGCGCTCACACTCACTCGGGCCACCCTCCGGCTCGCAGACCGCGCCACTCGGCGGGAGCGGCCCTTTCCCCGCGGTGGCGGCGGTAGCGCAGCAGCAACAAGTCCTCGGAGCGGCTGCCGGGGCCGGGCCGGCGCTCTCACCGCAGCGGGAGCTCCGCGGGCCCGGGCTGCGTGCGGTCAACTCGCGGCGGCGGCGGCGGCATGTGGCCTCTTCCCCCCATTCATAAATCCAGCGCCGGACACGGGTGGCGGGCGGGGCTGAGCGGAGCGCGGCG